AAGAAAGGGTTTGGGATAAAATATGGTGATACCGATTCTTTATATTTCATCTGCCCAGATAAGTATTATGAAAAATGCGATGAAGCCTTTTCCAGAAAAGATCTTTCTAAAGAAGCGTATTGGACTGAAATGGTCAATATTACTATGATTGTGATGAAAAGCTTGCATGATCAAGTAAATGCTTATCTTGGAATAAAGAATAGCACATCTTATCTTAAGATGGCATATGAAGAGGTATTATTTTCCATCTGCTTCACTGGTAAGAAAAAATATTTCAGTATATCGCATGAAGATGTGGTTAATTTTAGGGCAAATGATCTCTTTATGAGAGAAATTGATACTGTGAAGCAAGGGAATTCTGAGCTCTTCAGGTTTATTGGAGAAAAGATTATGTGGGAGGTAATGGGTATCAATAACACACGTTCAATTCGTAAAATTGTTAAAGACGCTCTCCGGAATGCTAGATTTAAGCAGTGGGATTTTAATCAGTTTATTGCAATATTTAAATAGAAGGCTAAAGGAGGCCTCTCATGCAATAAAATCTTTATAGATTGGATGAGAGAAAAAATAGTAAGCGGAGAAAAAAATATAAAGATCCCTGACTCTGGCGAACACTTTAGCTATATCATTGTGAATGATGGCCCTCGTTATAAAAAAGATGGTTCAAAATCGATAAGAAAGGGTGATTACATGGAGTTTTCAGAAATTGCAAAAGTTTAATATGAAGATAGATATCAGACACTATTAAGAACAAACAGTAGGAATGTGTGCACGTTTTATTAATGAGGATAATATGTTCCTACCACCCTCATCAGATAAAATAATGCAGATTAAAGATTCAGATATAAGAGAAAAACAGATCGATAAATATTCTCAGAAAAAGGCAAAAAACTGGCTTATTAAATATATCAAGAGTCTTCAATAAACTTTCTAGGTATTTTGAGAATTCGCCTAAAACCATCTAACTATATGGTTAAGTACTTTTAGCTGAAATTGCCACACCTCTGCTAGAATACTTAGTCGTTAAGATGCTTCACATAATATTATTTACATATTTTTTCTCATGCAATAATACTAGCTAACTTTAATTCTTATCTTCGAACTTCCAGCCTAGGATGATTACTCCAAACTTCAGGCCTCCGATCATACAGTCCGGCCTCAAAAATGTCCGGTGATGATAAAAAATAGTTCCAGTTATGAGAATACTCAATATTACTTTTTTTCCACGAATTCCATATTTTTTCCCAATAATCCATATAATTATAAGGAGAAATAAAGCAAGTATAGCATATGGCATTAAGGAACTTTCAATGGCAAGAACAGCTGGTACTAGAGGTATTTCTTGAGACAATGATACTGCTTCTGTGTCACCTACAGAAATTGTCGGGTCAAGATTGAGAAGAGTCCCTTCAGGACCAAGTTGAGATGAATTGTTTATAGGCGGGAGTGAACAATCTACTTCATTATTTTTCTTTAACGCTAACTGCTCTCTAAGTGATCTATTTGCCTCTATTAAATTTGACTGCGCTGAAAATAAAGAATCTATCATCTGATTGTATATGTTTTTTGAGGACTCTATTCCCTTTTTCATACATTCTATTTCATATTTTTTCAAGGATAAATCATCCCTTACTTGCTTCAATTCAAGCCTAAGAGAATCGTTCTCTTTGGGATCAGATGAGTCTATTTGGGCTGGCTCCTCTAGTAGTCCTCCCATTATATGCGAATCACATTCTAGTTCTAGATCTAATAACTTACCTTCCAATTCAACTACCTTAGCTTCAAGAGAAGGTATCTTAACCTTGTCAGCAGATGAAGCTTTCTGCGCTAAAGTTACCTCTCTTTTTAGTGTTTTAATATTTGATTTGAGAGATTTGATTTCGGTAGTATATTTGGCTTCAAACTCAGTACAGGACATCCATTCATAAGTAATTTGGGATGTAAGCTTACTATTTGCACCATTTAGCTGGCTAACCTTATTTCCGATATCAGCATGGAATTGCTAGAACTCCTTTTCTCGTCCTGAATACTCTGAATTTTCGGTCTGCAACTTTTTGTTGAAGTCAATAATTTCAAAGTTAAAATCAATAGCGGATCTTAATTTTTTTTCGAGCTCTTACTCATATGTACTACCTAGCCGATGTCCTCTATCTTTCATATCTTTTAGTGTACGTACATTAGACATAATATTGGCATGGTTACATAGCAGAAAAAAAATATACGAATAAAATTCCAAGATAATACATTCATCCTGTATATTCAGAATAATATATTCTTCCTATATATCCTGTATATCCTGTATATCCCATTTATCCAGAATATGTTTTTCCTATACATCCTATACATCCTATATATCCTGTTTATCTGAAATATATTCTTCCTGTATATTCTGTATATCCTATATATTCGGAATGATACATTTTTTCTGTATATCTTATTTAATAAATTATTTCAGAATATTATATTAGATATAAAAAAATATTGCTACCATGTTTAGACGACGTATGAGATATGATGCCCCTTCTTTTTCACCAACTGATTACAATTTTATTATGCAATGTGCTGAAAAAAAGCCTAGAGATGAAGTTTTAAAGGATTTAACAGATAAATATCGCACATCACAAAAATGTATTTATCATATCTGGAGAGGTGAAGAAAAAAATAGGGTTATGTGGAATCAACCAATTCATATACCAACAGCTTTGCTTTTTAATATAAATGTTGTGAGTGAGTGGATTGAGCCTGAGATCCAAGACCAAGATGTTTCACTATTTGCAGAATTGGAAAAACAAATACGTGATGGTAAGATAGTCTAGTAAATCTACTGATTTGGCTTTAGAAGGGAGTGTTATTTTAGGTGGTAAGGCAAAAAAGACTAGAAGAAAGAAATCGAAGTCTGTTCAGATTTCTGAACCATCTAGTATTCAGACTCAGCCAATCCAGGCTTCAGAGAAGGATACAAATAGTGTAAATTTGGATGCATCCTATGAGAAGATGGTCAAAGAAAATATAAAATTTATAGATGAAAAAAGGAAGCATTATTCTGAAAATAACTTGCCTATTCCCTAAGAAGACTTTCGCAAAACTCATTGATTTCTGCATTGAACTTGATAGCATTGGAAAGCTTCTTCTCAAGCTCTTTCATACGAATTGCCATACTTTCATAGCTCACTTTTTTTTAATACATTATCATTCTCGTTTAAGTCCTACAAGTCTTGCGAAATTCTATTTGGAGTTGAGGAAGCATCACATTCAGGAGTAATATTCACGCAATTCACCTCAAGCTTATTCTTGACCTTATGCATATTGATTGGAATAAAAAATTCCTTACCATTACATTTTAGTCTCAACTCCTGCTTTGATGCAAGCAGATCATAATTATATTTATCAAGAAGCGTGTTGGATAAGATTAGCATTGGCTTAGATATTTAACTACAGCAAAATCAGTATATATAGTACATCCTAAGGCAAAATTTATTGGGATATTTCTAACAATTCCAAGTGACTCTGTAAAAGTAGTAGTAATGCCTCTGAGATCATGTTTTCTTTTGTATCTATTTCTAGCTTTGATAGTTTGGCTATATCTTCAGACATAATCGGAAAATTAGCGTCAGGATCAACCACAGCACCTGGGATTATCAAGCGTTTGATCTTACATTTTACCGTTGCAACATCTGTAATGGGTTCTTTTCTTTAGACAAAGTCTATCTCCATAGGACTATCTAAAATATTCTCTTCATCTGAATCTTGAGCTGAAACAAGCTCACTTTTTTTAGCTTGCTAAATTATATATGGGAGATAGTGAACAAATTCACTCTGAATAATTTTGCGAATAGTTTCTTTTAAAGATACCTGCCTAGTACCTTGACCTAGGGTAGGTAATGGATTAGATCCATTAGATTTCAATAGCTAAATGATCCAATGGATAGATCTATTTGTAATCCATTAGATCCAAATAGCTCAGTATGCATAAATAGATCGTTGGTCAATAGATCTTAATAGATAATGATCTATTGGGATCTATTGGGATCATTGGGATCTATTGGCCAACATATGATATAATTTAATTTTGTCAAAAAAAAATTACAAAAATAAATGATTCCATGG